AGCGAGGATGGTGAGACTTCGTCTCATGTATTTTGGACATGTTATCAGGAGAGACCAATCCTTGGAGAAGGACATCATGCTTGGTAAAGTAGATAGTTAGTGAAAAAGAGGAAGACCCTCAACAAGACAGGTTGACACAGTGGCTACAACAATGGGCTCAAAAATTGCAATGATTCTGAGGATGGTGCAGGATCTGGCAATGTTCCATTCTGTCATAAATAGGGACGCTATGAGTCGGAAGCGACTTGTCGGCACCTAACAACAACAGTAACATAGAGAGCAGCAAGTAGTGCCCAGGGCATGAAGCAAAGGACTTCTGGATTGGTGTGGGTGAGTCAAAGATAGGAAAGGCAGTTGGAACCAGATCTTAGGACTTTGAATCATGTCATGGAGTTGGGCTTTACTTAGTAGACAGTGAGAAGTTAGTGGATCTTTGGGGGAGGGGAGAAGCTTTACCTGATCATGTTTCTGGAAGTTACCTTACTGGTAAAGGATTAGGGCAGTAAGAGATTATAGAAAGGAGAACAGAAATAATAACTGAGAACTCCCAAGTTTTTGAGAATCTATTATGTGCCAGGCATTGATACATTAATTATATTTTAATTATAATATTAGTTAATATGATTATCGTGGTTATTAGGTGCTGTTGATTGTAGAGTTAACAATACTTAAAGAGTGACTCAATATGGGAGATGAGAGAAAAGGAGAAATTAAAGATGGCTCCTACTTGGGTAGAATTAGTTAAGATAGGAAGCATCTTTAAATAAGGTTGGATTTGAGATGTTGGCAGGACAATCCAAGTGGAAATGTCAAGCTAGCTATTGGGAATGTAAATTTGGAAGTGGAAGAGGACAGAGGTCAAGTATGGAGGTGTGGGCAGGGAGTAATCAGGACATCTGTGAGAGGGGAAGTCTCAGGAAAGGGTATAGAACAAGGAAAGGCTAAAGACAGGGCAGTGTCCATCTGCGAATGGAGAGGGGAGGTAGAGAAGGAAGAATAAGAGAGGTCAGGAGAAACCAGAACGCGAAAGTGCAGTGTTGAGCAGCCAAGGGTGGGAGGGCCTCAGAAATCATATGTCCTAAATTGGGCATTTATTGCACACAGAGGGGCAGTAATATCGGGACTGAAAGAATTGCTGTATTTGGTAAGTAGAAGCCCATGGGGAGTTTTTGGGGAAAAAAAGCCCACAAAAAACCAATTTCAGTGGAATGATCAGGTACCAAATGACAGAGGCTGAGGAATGAGTGGATGAGTGGGTGGTAAAGAAGTCTGATGGACTGCAAGGGATCAGGGAAATTTTTATTAGGATGAGGGGGTTCCTGAGGAGGCTGAGGGAAAAAAGCAGTGGAGTAAAATTAAAAAAAAAAAAAAAAGTGGAGGGTAATTTATAGGCTATAATTTCAAAGTAAAATAGAAAGGTGACCCAGAGGATAGACAGAGAATTTGGCAAAGGAAGGGAGTGAGGATTTGTTATGTATGACAGAAGAGAAACAAAGGGGGGAAACCAGGTTGGATATACCAAGAAAAAGTGAGACTTAATGGTATTTTCTAAAGTCTGTTTTCAGGAAAGCCTTTTACTGGCCTTCTACAATACGTTTTACGTTCCCAAAGAACCCTATACTTTTCCTTCAAAACATTCGTCATGCTTATAATTACTTGCTCAGTGTCTGGTTTCACAACTAGATTGCAATCTGCTCTTTGAAGAGGCCAGTCACCATGTCTGTCTTGTTCCCCGAGGAAGCCTCAGCACATAGAAAGTACTGTATGCCTGGCACATAGTAAAGGCTCAAAAAAGATTTCATGTTGAATATTTAGCAACATCACAGATCATGGCTGTTTTGCTCATCTTTTTCTCTGAAGTGCTGAACAATGCCTGACACACAATAAACACTTGACAGATATTTGCTAAATGAATGAATGTCTTCATTGAAATAGGAAGTGAGCTCATCTATTGATGGGATAATAATGAAATCATTTTGAGTTCCACCTATGTGCGAGGCACTACATTAAATAAAAACCAAACCCATTGCCATTGACTCGATTCTGACTCATAGTGACACTTTAGGACAGAATAGAACTGCCCCATAGGTATCCCAAGGCTGAAATCTTTACTGAAGCAGACTGCCACATCTTTCTCCCGTCGAGTGGTTGGTGGGTTTGAACCACCAGACCTTTCAGTTAGCAGACAAGTGCTTTAACCACTGTGCCACCAAATAAACCATAGAATTTCAAGGGGGGCAGTGGTGGTTCAGTGATAAAATTCTTGCCTTCCATGTGGGAGACCTGGGTTTTATTCCCGCCAGTGCACCTCATGTGCAGCCACCACCTGTGGTGGCTATGATGTTGAATAGGTTTTAGCAGAGCCTCCAGACTAAGACAGACTAGGAAGAAAGACCTGGTGATCTACTTCTGAAAATCACCCAGTGAAAACCCTATGGATCACAATGGTCTGATCCTGTTGTGACATGGGGTCGCCATGAGTTGAGGGCTGGCTCAATGATAACTAACAACAACACAATAAAAGTTTCTTATTCACTAATACTACAAAGTGGTTGCCTCTGATTGATGGGCAGCTCTCTTCCTTTTGGAGACCCAGGCTCCTTCTGTCTTCTAACTATTCCCCAGGCTGAAGATGATGAGAACTAGGCACATGGCCCCACACAGATGCCATGAGAGCTAGGAAGTGTAGACTCTGGCTAGGCAGCCACTTCCTAGAGACAGCTCTATCTTATGGAAAGGGGAACATGAATTTTGGGGGTAACTTAGCTGTCTCTTTCATATATGAGTTATCTCATTGAATATTCAATGTAGTCCTGTGAAGGAGGTACTGTTCCTATCCTCATTTTACAGATGAGAAAACTGAGGCTTAAGCTTGTCCAAAAACAATAAGGTTCTGATTTGGGATTTAAACTCAAGTCCACCTGAATTAATAGTCTCTCAGAGCCCTGGTGGCACAGTGGTTAAGAACTCAGCTGCTAACCAAAATGTCGGCAGTTTGAATCCACCAACCACTCCTTGGAAACCGTATGGGGAAGTTCTACTCTGTCCTCTAGGGTTGCTATGAGTCAGAATCTACTTGATGGCAATGGGTTTGGTTTTTTGGTTTCGGTTCTTAATGACTCGACCAGAGGTTCTCAGGAAGAGGTGGTTTTGCCCCCTGGGGATATTTGGCAATATCTGGAGACTTTTTTTATTGGTGGTGGTGGAGGTGCTGCTGACATGTAGTGGATAAAGGTCAGGGACTCTGCTAAACATACTACAGTGCCCAGGAGATCCTGTGCCCTGCCCCCCCAATACACACGTCAAAGAAATATCCAGTCCCACATGTCAGCAGTACCAAGGTTGAGAAACCCTGCACTAGACTGTGCCATTACACCTGATGGATGAGGGTGGAGGCAAGAGGTGATTGGAAAAGATTAGAAACAGCTGCTATGAGGAGTGAGCTAAATGTTAATTATGAAATGATATTGTGATAGTTAAGACTGTGTGTCATCTTGGCTGGGCCGTGATTCTCAGCGTTTATATGTGATCACTGCTATGATGGGATCTGCTGTGAGTAGCCACTCAGTTGAAAGGGAGTTTCCTTGGGAGTGTGGCCTGCATCCAAATATAAGCAGATGTTCTGGCTTTTTGCCAGCTCTGGATCCTGCAGGTGGCTCCTGTTCATCTGACCTCCAGTTCTTAGGATTTGAGCTTGGGATTCATCAATCTGCACAGCCTGTGAGCAAGAGCCCTGCTCTCCAACCTGCTGATCTTGGGTTTGCCAGCCCCTACAGCTATGTGAATCAGGAGAAGCTTCTATCCTAATCCACAGACTTGGGACATTCCAGCCTCTACAACCGTGTGAGCCATTTCCTTGATATAACTCTGTTTCTCTCTCTATATTTATATGCTTTACCGGTTTTGCTTCTCTAGAGAACCCAGCCTAAGACAGACATAAAAGATTGGTGAAGAGCAGAGATGTGCAGGTCATTGTTGAACAGGAGAGGAGGGTAATGATCCTACTATTTTCTATCAGCTACTTGGCATTTCTGGTACTTGACAGTATATTTTTTGAGGGGGAGGAGGATAGTATTTTTTTTTTTTTTTTATTGTACTTCAGGTGAAGGCTTACAGAAAAAATAGTCTCTCATGAAACAGAAGTACACATGTTGTTTTATGACCCTGGTTAACAACCCTACAACATATCAACCCTCTAACTTCTCAACCTTTTTTTTTTTTTTTTTGGTGAAAATACACATAGCCAAAGATACACCATTTCAAAAATTTCTACATGCACAGTTCAGTGACATTGACTATGCTCTTCGAATTGTGCTGTTATTCTCACTTAAGATGAAGGCTTACAGAACAAAATAGTTTCTCATTTAACAGTTACTACAAATGTTGCCCTATGACAATGGTTAACAATCTCACAACACATCAACAATATCCTTACTCAACCTTGGGTTCCCTATCACCAGCTTCCTTGTCCCCTTCTGCTTTCTGGCCCTTGTCACTGGACTCCTGTACCTTGTTAGTCTCATTTGGTTTTACAGGGCTCTCCACTCCCAGGCTGAATGGTGAACCTCGGAGGTAACTTCACCACTGAGCTAAAAGGGTGTCTGGGGGCCATACTCTCGAGGTTTCTCCAGTCTCCTTTAGGCCAGTAAATCTGGTCTTTTTTTTGTGGGTTAGAATTATGCTCTACATCCTTCTCCAGCTCTGTCCAGAACCCTCTGTTGTGATCCTGGTCAGAGCAGTCAGTGGTGGTAGCCGGGCACCATCTAGCTGTACTGGACTCAGTCCGGTGGAGGCCTTGGTAGCTGTGGACAATTAGTCCTTTGGACTAATCTTTTCCTTGTATCCTGTTCTCTTCATTCTCCCTCGCTCCCGAAGGGATGAGACCAGTGGAGTATCTTAGATGGCCGCTCACAAGGAGGATAGTATTTTTAAAGAAGTAAGTGATCTGTACTTTTCTGGATGAAAATATTATCCTTTAAACCATTTATTTCTGTCCTTAGGGAGACAGTACTCGTCCCTTTATCACATCCAGTCCTACAAATGGGGTTGAATCTATTGCAGAAGGCTGGGTCTCTCACAACCCTTATGACACGCATTTTGGTGACGTACATTATTACAGCTATAGCAGTGATTGCTGGAATTGGAAACTTTTCCCCAAAGCTCGATTTGTGTCTGAATACGGATATCAGTCTTGGCCTTCCTTCAATACACTAGAAAAGGTAAGCCATCTTGATTTTCCAACTCCTCTTTCTCCTGCTCCTCTTTTTCTGTCTTTGTCTCTTTCTAGTATATCTGATTTTCTGCATGACTTTTCACTCTCTCTGTACCTAAATATTTCAGTTTCTTAATTGGATTCAGTTTCAGAGTTGTGTATGTGTTCTTTTTAAAAACAGGTTTATTGAGATATAATTCACCTGCCATATGATTTGCCTATTAAATTGTACAATGGTTTTTACTATATTCACAGAGCTCTGCAGCCATCACCACAGTCCAATTTTAGAACATTTTTATCACCCCAGAAGAAACCTTGTACCATTTAGCAATCATTTCCCCATTCTTTCCCACCCACTAATCCAGCCCTAGACAATCACTAATCTCCTTTCTTTCTCTATGGATTTGCCCATTCTGGACATTTCATATAAAGAAATCATACAATATGTGGACCTTTGTGACTGGCTTCTTTCACTTAGCATAATGTTTTCAGGGTTCATCCATGTTGTAGCATGTATACATACTTCATTCTTTTTATTGCCAAATAATGTTACATTGTATAGATTTCCTCCATTTTGTTTATTCATTATTTGTTGGACATTTGGATTATTTCTACTTTTTGGCTATTATGAATAATGCTGCTATAAACATTCATGTACAAGTTTTTGATTAAACTTATGTTTTCATTACTTGGGTATGTATACCTGCGAGTAGAATTGCTGAATTGTATGGTAAGTCTGTGTTTAACTTTTAAGAAGAACTGCCAAACTGTTTTCCACAGTGGCTACACCATTTTACATTCCCACCAGCAACCTATGAGGGTTACAGTTTCTCCACATTCTCTCCAACACTTAGTATTTTTTATCTTTTAGATTATAGCCATCCTACGGATGTTAAGTGGTATATCCTGTAGTTTTGATTTGCATTTACCTAATATAAAGATTTGAGCACATTTTCATGTGCTTCTCAGCTGTTTGTATATCTTCTTTGGAAAAATGTCTGTTCAGATCCTTTGCCCATTTTAAAATTGGGTTTTTTGTATTTTTATTATTGAGTTGTAAGAATTTTTTTAGTGTATTCTGGATACAAGTTCTTTATCAGATATACAATTTGCAGTTTTTTCTCCCATTCTGTGGATTGTATTTTTACTTCCTTAATTGTGTCAGTTAAAGCACAAAGTTTTAAATTTTATTTAGTCCAACTTGTCAATCTTTTCTTTTTTCTTTTGTGCATTTGGTGTCACAAATAAGAAATTATTGCCTAACCCAAGATCACAAAGATTTACTCCTATGTTTTGTAGAAGTGTTTGATAGTTTTAACTCTTAAATTTAGATCTCTGATCTACTTTGTATTAATTTTTGTGTATGGTGTGAAGTAGAGGTCTGCTTTACAGTGAATTACTTAATATGACTCTTCTAGCAATGGTCTTGTGACTCCCACAAAATGATTCGGTGGGACTATGTAAATGAGGTGCTTGTGACCCACCAAAGGGATCGGACAGCTTGCTAATAAGGCAAATAAGGTGAATGGAACCCTTGCGGGGGTGGGACCATGAAAATAAGGTGTATGGAACCTTAACAAGGGGATTGGACAGTTTTGCCATACCTCTAGGCTTAAAGGGAGCCGATCTCAGAAGTGGAAAGGGAGGACCTCACTCCCATCAAGAAGAAGAGCCAGTAGTAGAGCGTGTCTTTTGGACCCTGGGTTCCTGCACTGAGAACCTCCTACACCCAGGAGACAGACGAGATGGTGAGAAGTGGTGGCAGAAAAACGGTGGCAGCAGAACCAGGGGACTGGCACGAGGCAGTGCAAAGGGCTTCCCCGCCCACAGAGTGAGGCCTCTACCGTGGCATGTTGACCCCTGGGTGAGAGAACTGAGCACCTTTGGGCAGGAGGTTTTCTGGCAGAGTAGGGTGCCTCCAGGTAGTTATTGGCAAAGCAGGGCAGAGACCAGGCCAAGGGGTCAAGGGGCAGGCCTTCCTGCAGGCACGGCCAAAAAGAAACTTTACTGATTGAATGACTGTATCCTGAGTTGTTCCTGTTACTTCAAGTTGATCCTGATACTGAATTGTAACCTGTTACTTTCATAATGAACTCTATAACTGTGAGTATGGTCTGTGAGTTCTATGTGACCATTGCAATGAATTATCTCACCCAGCAGAGAAGTAGAAAGTGCCATGGGAGGGATAGCTGGTGTGAGAATTGGTAAAAAATTTGGAGAGTGGAAGTATCTGACCCTCCACCAGATAGGAATCAGCCTTGGGCTGATGCTGAACTTGATTTTTCTCTCCTCCCCCTGAAGTCAGATGAGGTCGTGCCATTTTTACAGTGTCCAAATTCATTCTTTGGTAAGTGGATATCCAGTTGTCCCAGCACAATTTGTTGTAAAGAATATTCATTCTTTATTGAATTCTCTTGGCCCCTTTGTTGAAAATCAATTGTCTATAAATGTCAAAGTTTATTTCTAGACTCTCAGTTCTATTCCATTGACCTATATGTCTATCCTTAGGCCAGTACACGCTGATTACTACAGCTTGCAATAAACTTGGAGTCAGGAAGTGTCAGTCTACCAACTTTGTTTATTTCAAGATTGTTTTGACTATTCTGTATCCCTTTCATTTCCATACAAATTTTGGGATCAGTTTGTCCATTTCTGCAAAAAAGGCAGTTGAAATTTTGATACAAATTTTATTGAAACTATAGATCAATTTGGGGAATATTACCATCTTAACAATGCTAAGTCACCAATTCATGAACATGAGATGTTTTCTTTAATTTCTTTCATTAATATTTTGTAGTTTCCAGTGTACAAATCTTGCACTTCTTTTGTTAAATTTATTTTAAATATTTTATTCTTTTTCATGCTCTTGTAATAGAATTTTCTTAGTTTCTTTTCCAGATTATTCATTGCTATTGTATAGAAATACAACTCAGTTTTCCGTATTGATCTTGTGTCCTGAAAACTTGCAGAATTCATTTATTAGTTCTAATAGCATTTTAGGAGATTCTTTAGGACTTTCTATATACAAATTCATGTCATCTGGAAATAGAGATAGTTTTACTTCTTCTTTTCCAGTCAGCATGCCTTTTAGTTTATTTGCCTACCTAATTGCCCTGGCTAGAACCTCTAGTACATTGTTGAATAGAAGTGGCCAGAGGGGACATCCATGTCTTGTTCTTGATCTCAGGAAGAAAGCACTTATTCCTTTACCATTTAATGTTTTAGCTGTAGGTTTTCGTAGATACCTTTCGTCAGGTTGAGGACGTTCTCTTCTATTCCTAGTTTGTTGAATGTTTGTATCATGAAAGGACGTTGGATTTTGTCAGCTGCTTTTTCTGTGGCTATTGCAATAAATGATCATGTGGTTTTTGTCCTCCCCATTACTTGTTTAAAGTAACAAAAAAACTTTTTTAAGACATGTTCAAAATCTTCCTCAATCTCACAAACTGAATGCAATAATTTTTATTTCTACATATTGAAGTTATTTTGTATTTCTAACTTTAATAAATAAAATCATAACCTTAATTCTACTACTTTTTAAAAAATTATTCAAATTGTAGAACTGATTTTATTGGGAATACTTTTGTTTTGAAATGAAGGAGTTTGGAGGTCAGTATCTTGGCCCATGTAGGAATAAGTGCTGTGAATCAGAAGAAGGGAATGAAAGAAGTGAAAATTTTACTGAGTAGGTGCTCTGTACCAGGTACCTACTGCTGTATTCAACAATAATCTACCTCCCTTGACTTCGACTGAATCCCGGAGGAAACCGAGGCACTGGAGGGTGGGAGGTTTATCTGTGTCCCTTATGTAAACCAAAACCAAACCCATTGCCATCAAGTTGATTCTGACTCATAGCAACCCTATAGGACAGAGTAGAACTGCCCCATAGGGTTTCCAAGGAGCAGCTGGTGGATTCGAACTGCTGACCTTTTGGTTAGCA